GTACGTGTGCGATGGAAATTTTAGGTCGCAAATTCTTCACTCCTGTTCCAGTGGACCCACAGCGTTCAAAATTGGTAGAAGTACAGGAAGCAGGATAGGAACACTGTTGGTGATAACAATTGAAAGGAGATGATAAAGAACCTTGAAAGGCGAGAGCCACAGGAACCGTTACTTACTTCCTGTTAACGGCAGAGCTTTGGCACTACGGAAAACTGTTAGGGAGTGATAGAAATTGATGGGATGCGAGAGCCAATAAATCTACAACGTTTTCATACAAACAACCGAGCATTCCAGTAGATTGTGCAGGATATGAAGGGACCGAAGTTAACTAGTGATAAGGACAGATAATAACAAGCGAACAGAAGTTGCAATCTCCTTGTCAACACTGAAACCTTTTCAAGACTGTAATGTAGGATATGTCGTTGTCGTAGGTACTCTGCGACAGGATTTGATAACAACTGACAAGAACTGATACGGGGCCTTAGAGAGCAAAAGGGTATTTATGATCAAACACTGACTCTTTAATGCTGTAAATGCTGTAGTAGCGATCAAAGACATTTCTCCATAAAGAAATAAGAATCTTGTTCATTTCTTGCTATTAAACTACGATTGTTTCGCAGTAGGCTTTGTGACACAATGAAGTACCACGATACCTTTTTGTTTTGTGACATATCATTTGTGACTAAACTCATCTGTCCGCTAATGATTTGGGATCTCCAATCAGAAAAATCCATGGGAAAATGTTCCATCGATAACATCTGTGATAGGCGCTATTATCCATTTCTGGGTACCATTCAAGACATTGGTTGTCAATCAGTTAAGCCAGCAATGTGATACAATTTCGATATGAAGAGCAATGAATCGAGACTTCTATTTAATATATAATTAGTTATAATACAGAAAAAAAATCGCTCCCAATTCGAAGCTAATACTGAGAGTGTAGACCTTTCGAAAAAAAGGAGAATCCGAAGTTATAGTTAATCTACTTGTAAAATAAGAACAGATGCAATAAAGAGAAAATAAAAAGTTGATAATATCTTATACTTGACACAATCAACGCACCTCAGCGTACGTACGTTTGTTATCATCCGCGTAATTTGCAGATGCCCTTCTTTAACCAGCGCTGCCGCACGGAACATATGAGTTTATGCATTACTTGAGAAAAAAAAAAGAAATAGAAAATCAAAACCGAATCCAAGACTCGATCATGCTCTGGTGACTACCATAAAAGCCAGATGACATAAGAATGAGCACAAGCACATTTATTATCTGAGCAAATGAACACAGTTCGCTATACCGTATCTGTGGAGGTAATTCATTGTATCCATTATTACTCTCAAGAATTACATTTATAAAACTTCGTCAGTGTATGAAGAATAGAAGAAGAAACGAAAACCACACACGTAAAGCCTATAGTACTCAAGTCATCATTAAATATCGAGATCAAACATGACTAGAGAAATTGCACGTGTAAAATCAACTTGCTCACGATGAGCCAAGGAAAATTAAGTAGCTAAAACAATTTCTATACTGAACCACCTATCTAAAAAGCTAAAAGAATCTACTTTACTAGTGTTACTGCGTCTCACAGAGTATTTTCAGCAGATTCGTTCATGTCATTCTCCAAGTCATTCTCGCCATCAGTCGTAAATTTGACGCTCTTTTCATCTCTTGTCAGAAGCAGTGGTGTTGTTAAACGAATCAGGAAAGCACCCACTGGAGCCGTTATTAGAATGCTCAGTACTGCGATAGTGAAGATCACGATCCCGTTATCGACATAGGTTCTATCAACTCCATCTTTTGATCTAGCCATGTCCAAAACCACTGGAGCCAATGCCGCCTGTAAGGACACAAATAAAAAAGTACTTCGGAACTAGTTATATCACCACCTAATGATTAGCACCAAGGAGAACATTGACCCTAGTGTTGAACAATCCCTTAGAAATAGAATAAACGCAGAAGAATGAGACAGATGGAGTCCAGAAGCACCTTTGCTACTATGCTCAATACACCAGGAGGCAAGGTGTACTGTACGGCGATGAGGCAGCGAGTACTGAAGTACTTGCTAACAATTATATGAGGGAACTTGACTACCCTTGAACGATGGTTAGGCTGATGAGCCTATAGCCTAGCCACAGACAACTGAGTTGGGTCAAGAAAAAGCGGCCAACTCCGTTGTAGCGCATTCAGTTGCGCTTAGTGAACGTAGGAGAGTAACGCTCGCAATGGTACGTGCACATAATGAGAAGTCATTGCATAACCTGATAGGAAATACCCCAGACTTTGAAGCATACAACGGAAGGTGGCCGGAGCTCACAAAAAGCAAGGAAGAGTTCAATAAGAGACGTGACCGTGAAGGAATCCATCGGAACTAAGACAAAGCGGAAGATTGTAAGGAAAAGGCAACTTTCAGCAGGAGCAGGGCACCTTGTGACGGCGCGGGATTAACGCTGAGGATAGGAAGAGTCTGCTAGTCTGACGAGGGTCAACGGCCACTTGTTGGATCCATTAATTACATAGAGTAATAAGAAGTAAAGAACAATATCCAAAACAACAATATCCAAGCTGAACGCTCGTGAGCACAACGCACTAGAGATGAGTTAAGTGTGATGTAAGGAAACCGGTTATCGAAGAGTGGAGGTTTAGCAATATTTGACTTACAAATCGTCCTCTTATTATCGTATCGATCGAAATTCAAATGCGGACATCTATCATTCCGAAGGAATAACGACAAGTATAAGGAACGAGATATAAAATGGACAAAACTATCGTTAAGCTCCACCTGAACAGTCGCTTTAGGCATCCAAGCCACTGCCACAAACAAACGTTCGCGTATAGTCAGATTGGTGACAAAAACGGCCAGGAATGAAGCGACGAACCGGAACAACAATCCGATTCCAAGCAGTAGACAGCCACGAAATATGGTTCCAGCTTGAACCTAGACCACTCGATTATATGAGTTAAAAGACACACAGACAGATACATACATGTGTACATATAATATATATGTACAAATATGTTTTCACAAAGCATATTTAAGCCTCAAAATACTCAAATAAAGCAACAGATAGAGCATATTTCTTCTTACCATGTCAAAACTAAGTTCGAATCCAATGAGACCGAACAGCAGCGGTTGAAAAGCAAGATGCCAAAGATTAGCAAGGTGATCTTCTTCAGGAAGGGGACCCTGCGAATACAAAACTATCAAAATCTTCATGCGAAAATCATCCTTAGACCACTAGCACCTCTTTTTTCCATGAATGGCCCGCAACGAACGCAGCTACTAAAACTGCAATAGCGCCTGCACCGTCCACACGGAACCTAATCGTGGTAAATAAGATAGCTGTGGAGAATGTGAATAAAAGCGACAGGCGAATGAGATGTAAATTTTTCACATCATTCCGTGGTAGGACGTGAAGGAGAAAGCATGAAAATAGAGACTATGAGAATCTGCAATTCAGTGGAATTAGGTGAAAGAAGCGNCATGCGAAAATCATCCTTAGACCACTAGCACCTCTTTTTTCCATGAATGGCCCGCAACGAACGCAGCTACTAAAACTGCAATAGCGCCTGCACCGTCCACACGGAACCTAATCGTGGTAAATAAGATAGCTGTGGAGAATGTGAATAAAAGCGACAGGCGAATGAGATGTAAATTTTTCACATCATTCCGTGGTAGGACGTGAAGGAGAAAGCATGAAAATAGAGACTATGAGAATCTGCAATTCAGTGGAATTAGGTGAAAGAAGCGAAACAAGTAAAACTTGTACCCATAGCAGAACCGAAAAATATCCCAGAGAAGACCTCAACTGGAGCTGCGAGAATCGTCATCCCCATATTGGTGCCTCAAATAATGGACCAATGAAGGAATGTATAGAATGAAGTGAAAAAAATCTCTAGGATCGAAGTAATAGATTAGCTGTTTATAGACAAAGATGTGTACAAAAGTTTCGGCTGCTTTCGCAATAAGCAATAGGCTGCTTTCGGAGTAAAACGACACAGGCCGACCTACCAATCGACCGACGGCCTTGCTGGCCACGCGTTGACAACGGTAGTTAGATTGCGTTCGATAATGTACAGCTCACGAGGCCTCGAATGCAATCTGTCCTGTGTTGTCAACAAGTGGCAAGCAACGTCGTCGTTGCTCGAGCGATCGCCACCTCGTTGAACTCTGAAAGCATCGCTAGCTTAGCAGGAACAAATATTCGCAAGTTTTCAGCTGATTCATATTAATGGCTACCTGAAGAGAACAACAAAGACAGCGCCAAACTGAAAATGGAGATTGCGTACACATCGTCGAGACTAGCAGCAGCAATAACCAAAGATGGTACACCTGCCTGCACTCCGTAACCTGCAAAATCTTGGTGCAATTTACCCCTTACAACTAGACCATGATCAATTAACCTGCTTTAGAGGCGTCCAATAAAGCAGGGATCACGACGGCGGGCGAAACGGCAGCTAGCACAGCTCTAAAGAATGGTGGGATTGACAAAAGATTTTCATGCCAAAATGTCATAGACAAAACAACAACTGTCAGAGCAGTGGCAAAGCCGCAAGTGTAGTGGCTCGAGGCCCTCAAAGGGTGGAAATGAAGAGTTGGTGCAAAAAGGTAGAAACAAATCGGTTAAGGTGAGAACAAGTACAGTTACTTACCCGAGTAACACACCAAATATGAAATCCATACCAAAAACTAATTTAGCAGCTACTGCTACAACTACCGTTTCTACGGAGCAAGGAACCAAGGCCAAACGGACGCAAGCACCCTTGACGAAAAAAGTTCAATGGAACTATGAAAAAGGTATTTACAGTGAATGAGCAACTAACCTTTAGTCTTTTAATTGCATTCGCATCAAGAGAGAGCCCGCCTCGAAGTAAAATCACAACGAAAGCAATCCTTCGCAAAACAACACTCCATTCCTTGACGACAAATAACAGTTCGCTAACTGCTGGCAAATTCCTCAGAGCTATGCCAACGACTAGCATACCTGAAAAATTACGAGGTGATAAACAGTTCCTTCACAGATAGGTCAAAATTAACCTAGAAAACATTGAATTAAAACTAGAAAACAAAGTTGAATGGGAGCTTTGCTAGGTCGAAATTCCACGCCGAAGCTATTCGAACTCCAATTAAGTGCCTGTTTTCCATTCCATCCATCATACATAAATCAGTACGGGCGCGACTTTCCGGCGAAGGAGGGCGAACTTACGGACGGACTTCGAAGTCTGAATGCAGCCACTCACTCCAAACAATCAACAGTCCTCGGCTGTCACGTAGCGTTGGCCTCTGACTCTACCTCATCAAAAATCCATAGAAGCGCACAGGAACGACGAATCACTACGGGCATCCGGTTTTCGCAATGATTTTATAGTGAATGAAATGCTATTTCTTTCACAGCACAACCTCATTTCGATACGCAAATTCTCACCTGCCACAAATACGACGCGTCAAAAGGGGACTTTGCGCAAAAAGAGGCATTGAATGGTACTAGCATTACGGGCACTCTTTTGAACCAGGCCGTGGCAGGTTTGTTGTAAGAGTCGAAGGCCCGTACTGAATACTAGTTTCAGTGAAAAGCACAGGTCCTACTGGCTTGAGTGGGGGAGGAACTCCCGGTGAAATACAGCTGGAATGTGACCGCTGTCCTGCGCCTCTGAAGCTAATGGCTATAGCTCGAGGAAAGACGAAACGTCGATATGACCCTGTTATGGAACTTGGAAACAACTCTGGTCTAAAGGAATGGAGTTTTCGGCCTGAGCCTAATAAAGGAACAGTATCGGGGAAAGTGGAATGCTGGCTACGTTCGAAAAGTCGGAATGTGAGAGGAATTGATGTAAGGGACAGTATTACTGAGAGTGCGCAGACAAGGACGCGGAAACTAATTGCCCTCCAACTACATTTTCATTGAATCTTCTAAACAAGAGTTATTGGGGAGAGCGACATCCGTAAGGTTGGAGTCGTAGAAAAGGGCAGAATGGGCCATGGGCCGAGTAGGTACATATCTAGTTTATGTTCACTTGTGCTGCTATTTACGGCAACAGAAATAAATGGACCCAAAACTCGACAAGAAATAAAAAGCTGGTAAATGCATAAGCACGTACCCAAAAGACTTGGCAGGCGGCAGAGCTGTGTGAGATATCCAATAACAACTCCAAGGCTTAAAATCACCAGTAATGAATATATGGAGGTAGCGTAATCAGGTGGTGTGGGAACAGCAAGTGCATCAGGGAGAGACTTGTTTTGCACTGAAGTTTCAATTATGCTGTTGCAAGTTGCGAATGCGAGAGCAACAAATAAAAGATAGGCGCAACAGCTTGAAATCTGGAAACGAAGATAGACAAGCACCATCAAGCAGAGAAGAAAACTCCGTAGAAACCACCTTACCTCGGCCGTGTAAATTACGGGCAGTTTCCATTTTCTTTCTGTCTGTTCTGATGGTTCAATGACTAACTGAGAGCACTCTGTGTTAGAGCTCATACTGCACTAGAAATTGGGAAGCACTAGAAGAAAAGCAATGTACAGCGTAGTCGAGTGGGAAGCTTCATCGCGAAAGCATTGATTGCGCAAGCTCAGCTGTATGATCCGCAGTGGCGGGAGCACGTCGCAGCTCACGACAAAAAACAAATCCACCCGGAGACGAGCAGTTGAATCGGTCAGAATCCACAGCAGTTCAGCCTTTTTCACTTCCTCACCACAGCTATTTTGGAACAGAATGGTCAAAAATGTGTTTGCTGGTCAAGGTCAGCTTACTGCAGAGAGTGCTGCCTTGGAAGTGACCTTTGCGAGGAAAGTCGTGGAAGATGAAATAAGGAGTAGAGATCATCTTTTCCATTTCCTGGAACTTTGAAGAGGATTCTTCTGACGATAGGGCGGGACAGTGTCGGTATTTGAGGACAGTGGACGAGCTTCGTCGAAACAAATCTCTTCCCAAGGGAAGCTTTTGCGGAAAGTCGTGGAAGATGAAATAAGGAGTAGAGATCCTGCCATTTATGGTAGCTGACAAGAGAGAATCACTTTGGCCAAACAGTCACCATATCTCATTCAAAGCCTGAGTGCCGAAGCGATCAGTTCCGTAACGGTGAAGCAGAAGGCTCCTGTAGTCTTATCAATGGCACATCGTTCGATCGAGGATTACTTGCTCTGAACGACCACATCTAAAACCGATCAGCCATAGGCTTGATCTATAAACAACGCCCTTTCTCTGCTATCGAATCTATAAACCTTTAGGCGGTCGGGAACAACACGTTTCTAAATTGGGAGGCATGATTTTCTCAAAACTCTCCGAACATTATTCAATGCTTCTGTGCCGCACAGGTTTTTTAATGGTGGAATGTTTATTCGCCTGACGTTTCGACAAGAGGGTGTGTGCCGATTCGTGCGATTCTGGGCGCGCGCGGCAAATTGCGCGGCGGAATCCGTGATGATTCGAACGACTCTAACGCCTATTATTGGGGCACAAACTTAAAGTAGAATAGTTGGGTATGGTCAGCTGATCCTACTAATCCACTCTACTCCAAGTTTGTGCTCCAATAGTAGGCGTCAGAGTCGTTCGAATCATCACGAATTCCGCCGAGCAGTTGCCGCGC